TCCCATTATAAAACAACTCATTGCTATCTTAATTTGTTTTTTCACATATCTGTGATATCACATATAAGCTGATTTGACAGTAATAAAAAAGTTAAAAGTTATTGTTGCTCCAATGGATTGTAGCGCCAATAAAAACTAATTTGAATTCCTACCATAAAAATCAGTTAAAATTCTAATCCGTTAAATCTTTTAAAAATATATAAAAGGGATGTATAAAGACGCAACAAGGAGACAAACACAAACACTTTTACACCAGTTTTTAAAGAAATAAAATTCCAAAATAACAGTACAGGTGTGTTTTAACAGTTTGAAAACAATGGTAAAAAAAAAAAAAATATTTCAAGTATTTCTTTGATAATTTAAGATCTGCTTAGAATGTAACACATATTTGGAGCTAAACACGTATCTAAAATATTAAAATTTCACTATAAGTACACGTTCCAAAGCAAAGGACAGGATAGGGTAAGACCAGTATTTTGGCACACAAATTTGGGTTTCTTTCAGAATGATCAAATATTTTAGCCAAAAACACCTGTTGTCAACCTTTCCACAAAACGAGTATTTGTCTAAGATTAAGGAGATACAGAGGTCACAGTGAGGTCAGGAATTCGGTCAATATTCGAAACTTCTCATTTTTATGCAAATTTTCATCGATTTTACAGCACTTTTTGTTTCAGTAAACATAGAGCACACTCTTGCCTATCTACCAAATTTATATATTTTATACACTAATATAAAATGCAGTTTATGTGTAAAAATCTCAGATAGGCAAGCTTGTGCTCTATATTTTCCGAAGAGAAAAGTACCTCAAATATGATGAAATTTCACCAGAATAGGAGAAACTCTGAAAAATGTCCTACTTCTGAACCCTCTAGTTGCTTTCAAGTAAGATTTGGGTCCAAATTAGTGCTTGCTTTAAATTCATAATCATATCGACTTCTTAACTACAAAATATAACAATTTTACCAGTGTTCTGGTTTTTGCATCAAATAAGAGACCAGATCCGACCGTTATTCTCTCTCGTCCTTTAAATTAAACCTTTTGAATTTATTCGTCATATTTGAACTAGGAAGAAAATACGATGTTTTTATGAAATCCGATTGGCTTAATTTAGGGTGCAAAGTGCAAATCATGGCTAATATATATGATAATAAATACATGTATAATATGGATGTACCACGCATTAGTTGTTTTGCATTATAAACCAGAAGTTAAATATATAAACACGTTCATTAAATTTTACTCTACAATCCATGTTCAATTCCTGCAAACATCATGAGCTCTGGTTCTACTGGTTCTGTAGAATTAGCCTCCGCTTTTGGTTGTCTTTTGCTACCGAGTGTTATATTGCAGTGGCGGGATTTTTCTCCCCATATTGGGTAAAATTGGATTCAACTACCAGTACAAATTGCTACTTTGGAATTTATTCCACCGTAAATTGTGATGACACAATCGAAGGTACGAGGGGCGTTCAATAAATAATGTCATCAGGGCTCGGAAAGCAACAAAGAACGCTTTTCTATGATTTTGTCGTAATGATTTAACTAAAATATTCTCTTTTAATTAAAACACATGTCCGTAACATTTTTATTCAATTTCTAATTGTTTTAGAACATAGTTTTGAGTGTGACCCTTCGTATACTGGAAATTGGCAGATCCTATGATTTGCTGGACTTGTTTTTTCTTTCTGAAAGGTGTTTTCCTAAGTTTGTGAAATGAAACAAGTCAAAGATTGAAAGATCTGGCGAATATTGTTGATGTGATAAAACATTAACTTTCTGTTTACCCCAAAACTCCTTTACTCTTCATGGCCTGTGGGTTTGGACGCTGTCAGGAAGAAATTTAATGTAGTGAATTCCTCATTCTGTATCCTTCCTCTCATAAACCTTTCAATTTTTTGGCAAATATTTTGCTTACTAGACTCCTTCAGAAATTGGACTGCCTCCCTATATATGAATTTGAACGACAAGACCGCTAATATTTAAGAAAATAGCGTATAAAACTGTTTTTGTGTTCTTAGAAATTTTTGCTCTTCTTAGGCCATTGCAGTTTTGTCAAGTACATCTTATTCTAAATTTGTTTCGAGGGTTGAACGGGAAATGGATTCAAGTTTCATGATCTGTTTGAATTTCAGAAAAACGTGGATAAGAACAATTTTTGAATTTTTAAAAATAATCGTTTCGATTTTCTACACGCTCTCGTTTTCACTCATTTTTAAAAATGTAGGGTGACCTTTGAGTATTAAACTTTTTTACAATCAAATGTTTCTTTTAAACAATGTGAACTACCTCCAAAATGATGTATATCAAATTTGCTATGTAACTTAAAGTAAATAAAACATAATCAGTGATAATTTGTTGAATTAACGCTAATATACATTGGTTGTTGTATGTCCTTGTTGACAAGACGGTACCCATATTTGATGCCCATTATCTAATTTTTGTTAATTGAAATCCACCTGTTCTTGTGTGTATGAAACAAACATAAGTTGCTTTAAATTTCACAATTTTCAGTTAATATATGTTTTGAAAATTATCTAGTTTTACAGCAGCTTTAATGACGCGTTCAATTTTACTCCAGTTTACTGATTCTTTACCATTCATTTTTAATGCAGTGTCTCGAGTAGCCCTTGTTTTCCAGCTTCCCACAATGAAATTATGCGATGAAAAGTGGTCACACAAACTGTTATCAATTCATTAGAGATTCAATAATTAGGGAAAGTCAAGCTTAATGTCATATGATTTCTATGTTATATGTCATTGAGTTGATGACATTATTTATTGAACGCCCCTCGTAAATCTGAAATAAGCTCGGTAAATTATATATATTACTGTTTATTATCTGATGCCAGAATTCATCCCTACTTGTCTTTGTAATAATTATAATACCAGGTAGAGATCTTGTGTGATATTGGGGAAATATGATTAAAAATAGAATTAACCCAAAAACCACTGGACCGAATAAGGCAAAGCATACATCGATCGAAGCTGCTTTATGTGAAGTGCATATATATTTATTATAACCATTTATATACAAAAAAATGGTTAAGATCTATTTTAAAGTGTATGCCCTTGCGAAAATGCGATTTAATAAGGCACATTGATATTAAACACGCGTACCCTGAAACACGGAATAATTAATGATAAAACAATAAATGTTATGTATAATTATTAAATAATCACACTGAACGAAAGTTTTACATAAGTATCACTTGCTTATCTGAAAACCTAAATGAAAAAATTCTGCTTAATATTCAATAAATTGCACTTTTCACTGTAAAATAAAATCTTTGATTTGCCTATCACAACAAAAGAAAAACATCATTTGCACCAAAATGACGTAATGCCAACAAATTGAGCGCGATCAGTGATTAGTTTATAACCTGCTGTGTGGGATGTAACTAGCATTAAAGCAATATGAGCTGCATGTTTTACATGGGAAAAAAATATTTCAAATTTGTAATAAACTATTACAATAACAAGAAATACAACGTTTATAAATGTTGGTTGTTCATATTTGCTATGGGGGAACTTTTTATAAGCTTTGATAGAAGCAAAATTGAATTATTGTCGTCCTGTACAACAATGATTTCTTATATAATACTGTATATTTGGTTGTGCAGAAATATTTCTTCTGAAACATTTTTAAACTTTATTTTGTTCTTTTTCATCATAAGGGTTTAGATTTCATACAGATTATTCATAATAACACATTTTACCAGCAAAATTAATTTCTCAAAAATGTAGCTCATATTGCTTTAAACATTAATACATTGTACATTTTTTATGTTGCTCATTACGTTTAAGATAGTTGTAGTTTAAATTGGCAAAATATTTCATTTTCTGGTCTTACTTAGAGTAGATATTTTTGTGTGACGAAATTATGCCCTGTCCGCTTTGTGCAGTCGTTACAATGCTGCATCTTACTCACACAGTCAAACAAAGAAGACTATATTAATACCCATGTATACATTAGAAATCGGAAATTATAATAGATTATATGTATTTCTGGATTTTACATTGTAAATAATATTTATGCTTTAGAAAATAATTTACATCTTAACACGTTATGAATTTTATCAAATTTTCTGCATAAACATTTAATTCAAACACACTTTTTGAAAAGAAGGGTTTCAGTTAAAACATAGCCACCATTTCATTCAAGCAAAACTGTATATCACACATATACACAAATTGTTGCTTGTAATAACTTTGAACACGCACTGGAAGAGGTGTTTTGGATTCGCAGAAGAAATGATGCATTATGACTGCATATGCATGCTGATTTGTATATGGAGGCCTCCTATGTACGATGCTCAAGGTTTTTCCAAGATAACTGTAAATTTATCAAATTTAGCGTGTACAATATTTGGTGGAAATTGATTTTTTTAGCAAGTATAAGAATAGATTTGATTTAGTTCATGCCTTTATAAGTTATGCTTATTTACAAGGGTTGTCCTAAAAAAACGTAGACAGTTTATAACTTTGTATACATGAAAACGATATTGACCAAATTTTGCATAGACATACATGTGTAATATATTTATTGTTCCTTCAAAATATGAATGTTTTGATATATGAATCTTTCATATATATTTTATTGTGACGATTCATATCATCATTGATCGAAAGTTTAAATCCGAGGTACGCAACCGGTCATTACATGTAGCGTTGTATTTGAATTAGCGGAAGTTTCTTTTAACAAAAAGCAGTAAAAAATACAATACCAAATGAAATACGTTTACAGCAATATTCTTTTCCTATCTGAAAATATATCCATCTTACTTTAACAGCATTCGGCGACCTTATATTAGGCATTGAGGCTACTTCTGTGCTTGTTATGGCTCTTACAACACTGGTCATATTGGTTGTCATTTGCTGCAAGAAAGACGACGTACCCGAGCATGAATTGCGCAGTTGTGTATTTTATTTGCTTGGCCTTTATGTTCTTGCAGGTATACTTTTATCACGCAAAATTTTAAGTATCGTACTGCTAATTCTAATGTTATTGTTGTAGCTTATATCTGATTAAAATGATATGTTTTAATTTTACTTTTCATAAACGAAGAATGTTTATTATAACTGGAATTGTTATTGACTCGTAAAGGACACTCTTTCTAATCGTTTCTCTATCAATAATCTCTTACATTCGTTTTTACAGGAATCCTCGGCTTCATTGGATGTATGCTTGTTTTAGATGCATATTACGACAATGACCAAGGCTGGGGATTTTATGTTAGTGTGGCAGGATCATGCTTTGTAATACTGGTCGTAGGTCAATTATTTAAAAAGAAAAAAGAATGAATCTTTATAACCTTGACTTCAACATATTCTTTGTTACATGATACTACTGTAAAAAAGGTCAATTGTTACTTGTAATTTGAGTTTTAATAAAGCTTTTTCTTTCATTTTCTGTTAGCTTTAATGTGATATATATATATTATAAGAATTCCATAAACTGATCATTTGCCGAATTTTACGACAACTGACCATTGTATTGCATTATAAAATTCATAAAAGTTAATATAAAACACAAAATGTGTGGATACCTAAAGGAATACTGTAATAATGCGTGCACGAAACAGCAATTACAATTACAACCACACACTGAATACTTCCTCCAACAGAAAAACAAATTTTGATTACGTGCAGGAGCATCGCCAGTTTAAAATAAAGACAGTGTAAATGTTCTATTTAGAAAACTGAGAAACTGATACAATGTATGATGGTAGAGGATTGTTGTACATGTATTGAAGTGTCATTTTAGGAAACAATTTTCAAATAACAATAACATCATAACTCTTGAAACCTTCCTTTTTTAAACATAAACTTTATTCAAATCATACAATAGTTTAAAATCAAGCTACCAGCGTTATCAAGGTTGTTTCCTATTGAGCTGAGATCATTGTTTAACAGAAAAAAGAGGTGTAAATATTAGACTTCATCAAAGAGGGAAATTAAAATCTGATCTTCAGTTCTAAACTACCAAATAAAAACACGGAAGGATTATCATAATTAAGATACAACAATTGACACATGAGCAGTTACGCCGAATGAAGCTTCTTATCAATTATTCTGAAATTCAAACCAAAAGCAGAATAAGCCATCATCATACCAGTTAACATCCGCGTTCAATCTGTGTATATACCATGAGGTCCGATTCTAAGGTAAAAGTTTGTTGTCTTGCTTTTCTGTTGTTGCCAGGTCTTGTTTTACAAACAACAGGCTTTTTCTCACCATTTTGGATCAAACAAAATTCAACGCCAAACTGCTTCAAAGGAATTCTCTACACCGTAAATTGTGATGAAAGTATTAAAGGTAATATTTTAAAACATACACATGTAATACATTTTTAAAAAATCTGTTTTCCTTATATTAATTATATTCTTTTTATTCCAGTTTATCATTCTAGAATTGTGCTTATTAATCATCATTTTCATGTTACATGTAACTTTGTGAATCGTTCGAGTTCTAGCCTTTGGATCATTTTGATTTTAATTATTGAAGCTGTTTGCTTGATTTTAGAATTCACCTTACCACCAATGCATGGATTTTCTACCGAAAGCATCTTTATGTTTCATTAATAGTTGCTGGAAAGTTTTTCACGTGTTTTTCCTGATGATTCAGATCTCTTATGGAGCCGAAATATACCTAATTTGATTTTTGTCACTTAATGATTTTTACTTCTTATGGCGTCTTCATTTTGTAAATTTCATATAACATTATCTGAATTACAGTTTGTGAAAAAAAATGAACAAAAGCCTAAATTGTGTACTTCGCAGCACAGTTAAGGTAACAGTAAGGAGGCGGGACCTAATTTGTACGGGAAATGTTTACTATGACGTCACTCATAATATAAGGTCTTTAAAATACCACAAAATGAAATTATTTGCTATTTCAAACAGCTGGATAGCTGTCTACTACATACAAACTTACTTTTACATGCAGTTTTGTCGTTTGTTAAATCCCACACAACAGTATATAAACGATGCATCGATCGCAATGCACTTGTCAATGTGACGTCATCTCGCAAAAATGACGCAGTTTGTACACAGTGAAAGGCTTATCAAGTCGCATTTTGTACAATGAAAAATGTCTTTTGTTCTCAAATAAAATATTATTTGCGGTTAAATAAAAAGCCGTTAACCTTGATACGATGTGTATTTTAGTATTTTATTTGTAAACTGTACGTACATTCTCCAGACAAGCGACACTATCGTGTTTTTGTATGCAGATTCATTGAAAAAGTAATGTTGGGGCCCTAATAAATCGATTTATTGCAAGGGCATACCCTCCATATATCTTGTCAAGATTTTACACATTAACTCAAGAAGCATTAAGATATTTGAAAAGTGCTGCGAACCTCTTGAAATCTTGGAAATAAATTAATTATAGCTTTATTAAATGTAGTTGACCAGCAAAATATTCAACCTGCCGTCCAACAAATTAAATTAAAGCAATTAAAAAAGGGAATTTATATATGTTCGCAGCACTTTTCAAAATCTACAAGTAGTGTTGAATAGGATAATAAATTAAACTAAGATTTTTAACTTGTTTATGCCCTTGCAATATTGAAATTTATAGTTGACCTCTAAACTGCAAGTATAATTGCTAAAGTCATGTGACGTCGATATCACATGACAAGTCTAAATAAAAAATCTAAATGTCCCTAACATGTAGATTTAGACCTTATTACATATTTTTGATATCAGTGAAGTCGTAAAAAGAATCGCCCATCCTAATAAAGTATGTATTTTTTATCTTAAAAAATCGCCGATATTTCCATTTGTAACCTTAACTGTGCTGCGTTATAATTCATATAGGCAACTGATAGAAAATTCTGACTTCTGTGAGATTAAGGCCTCTTCTCCGGTCCCCTTGCTCTCCATCTACATCCAAAAAATAAATCTTTAGTCTTTTTCTTTTGCTTCCTTGCAGTTATCAAAAGCAGACTACAGTTTGCTGGTTTTACTTTTTGATTAACAAGTAATAAGGAATGCCAAAGTATTTTATCGTTTATATTTCAGTTTGCCAAAGATCACGCCAATAAATCAAATCTACATTAAATTGCTATGACAGATCATCAAGTTTGCAAACATATATTTAAAAAAAAATCCAAACAAATGCAGGTACATTTGATTCGGCCATACTGTAAAATTATACAAAGTTATATCTCTATCAATATGAATAGAATATTAATGCAAAACATACTGAAGATAAACCATGGTATAATGAAGAGTGTAAGATAAAGTACATATCATATGTCACAGCTATAAACCATTTCAATAAACAGAAATCTACTGATTATAGATTGTTATAAGTTAATAAAAAAGCGGCTTACAAGAAAGTTATGTAAAAATGTAGACACATTTATGAGAGACATCAAGGTAATAAAATCGAGTTTATTCGGAACTATAACCCTAAGAAATTTTACAAATTGTTTGAACGTAAGAAAGGGCAAATAAGTTCAGATTTATCGGCTAACAAATTCTAAGAACATTTCAAAACCTTGCTTGAATGTAATACAGAAAACAATAGGAATAATAAATTTAATTACCTAGAGACACAATCATCAGTATACTGTGAATTAGATCAGAAAATTACGAAACAAGAAATTGAATATGCTATTGATTAATTAAAACATGATAAAAGTAACGCAGAAGATTGCAAGATTAACGAATTCTTCATTCATTGTAAACAAATACTCATGCCTATCTTATACATGTTATTTAATAAAATCTTTACGTCAGGCCATTATCCAGAGTTGGGCTACTGGGTGTGTAGTGCCAGTTTTTAAGAAAGAGGATACTAATAATCCTTATAATTACAGAGAAATTACACTTGTTAGTCGCATGGCTAAATTATTTACGAGCATATTAAACAATAGACTGATGTTTTGGGATAAAGAATATAACATAATTACAGAAGCGCAATTTGGATTCAAGCCAGGTGCAAGTACCATTGATGCGATATTTGTTCTACAGACATTAGTTAACAAATTCCTAAGGAACAAAACAAAAGAAAACTTTATTGTTGTTTGGTAGATTATCAAAAAACATTCTTTTATATCAATAGACTTAACTCATGGCTTAAAATTAGTACTCGGGGTATTCAAGGGAAATTATTTTGTATTATCAAGTCTTTATATGATAATATTAAGGCATGTGTAAAATCAGGGGTTTGCATTTTAACGTAGAAACGCAATTAGATGTATTTGAAACTCATATTAACAGTGTTATGAGTTATGAAGCTGAGGTATGGGGATTTCACAAGGGTTAAGACATAGAAAATGTTCACTTGAATTATTGTAAAAGAGTTTAAAAGGTCAGACAAAGCACCAGTAATGATGCAGTTTATTGTGAATAAGGTAGATTTCCACTTTTACTTGAAAAAGAAAATTTTGAAATACTGGGTAAAATTAAAAAACAGTGATAATTGTATATTACAAGCATGTTATCAAGATATGGTTGAAAATAATGATGAATGGATTGTAAACAAAAAGAAGGAATTCCAAAGACTTGGTTTAGCTGAAAAGTATAATAGTAATTGTATTGATAATAATACTCTGAACATTATATTTCACAGAATGTATTACTGATATAAACAAGAAATTATGGCAAGAATGTGTAATTCTCCTAAATATTTTTTATTTCAACATTTAGTGGATAATGCTGCACTACAGACGTATTTAAGAAAACCATTACATTCAAAGTATAGAATACCTATCAGTCGTTTAAGGCTATCAGCTCATGCTTTAAGAATAGAGAGGTGAAGGTATAGTAACATAGAAAGAAAAGATAGAAAATGTGAAATATATATGTCAGGTGAGATAGAGGACCAATTTCATTTTGTATTAAATGTCCTGGATATGAAGAACTTAGAATTGAAATATCAAGAGTTATTACTTTAAAAAACCATAAATATTTAAATTAGTACAGTTAATGAGTTCTACAAATATTAAAGAACTATGTAACCTGGGCAATTTTTTGTATTTTTCTTAAGAAATGATGCTCTAAATAATTAAATGTTATTGTTATGTAGTTATGTAGTTAACACATATATTGTATAGCCTTTACAAATCTTATGTATGAATATTGTATACCTATCAGATGTAATGTCTCCGGTTCAAATAAAATAAAAAATACATGTTGTATCCAATATTTTGTTAATCATTGAAAAAAAATTTAGTATTGTTTTTCCAGGACTTGGTGCAACAGCTTTGGGATTCCAGGCTACCGCTCTAATCATCATGGCCCTTTCAACATTTGTTCTCTTGTATACCTTATGCTGCAATAAAGACGACCAACAAAATAGCGTGGGATGTTGTCATAAATTTGGATTGTGTTTTATATGCCTATATCCCGTTTCAGGTATTATTTCATATACTTTCATGCCCCGTGGGGATCCGGGTTAGAATAAGTCCTCAGTACCCCGTTGCTTGTCGTAAAAGGCGACTAAATGGGGCGGTCCTTCGGATGAGACCGTATAAACCGAGGCCCCGTGTCACAGCAGGTGTGGCACGATAAAGATCCCTCCCTGCTCAAAGGCCGTGAGTGCCGAGCATAGGCCTAAATTTGCAGTCCTTCACCGGCAATGGTGACGTCTCCATATCAGTGAAATATTCTGGAGAGGGACGTTAAACAGTATAAAATCAATCAATCAATCATATACTTTCACTCTACATATATATGTTGTAATAATAAAATGCAATTTTGCAAGCAAACAGATTTACATTCAAATCCGATCGTTTTGCTTTTATCGATGTCTTTAAAGTTCTCAAGATTAGAAGTAACTCTGAATGCTATCTAAAACAGCAAAAACGCTTCCAGAGTTAAGAAATGTATTTCTTAAGCATAAAACAATACTGTAACTGAAAAAAAACAATGTAAAAATATTTCTGATTTGCGCGTGGAAAGAGAAGCACTTTACACTGTGACCCTCAACTCTACATTTAGATAATTATATGGACGCACTTTTGCTGATCAACAATTGTTATTTCCATTCTTATGTCTAATGTCGATACAATATATCCAGTCGAGCTTGAGATAAAAGATAGAACAGAGTTTGACATATCAGTTTCAAGACTGGATATTTTACTTGGGAAAAAATTGTCATGGTAATATAAAAACCAAGCTTTATGATAATCGTGATGACTTGTACTTTTTCAATCGTCAACTTCCCTTTCTTATGAAGCAATATATCTTCATCACCTGCGGTTTATATTTCTCAGTTTATACGATACGAAGGAACATGTTCTGTGATTTTACAATTTCTAAAAAAGTAAATTATTGACAAACAAGTTGATAAACAAAAATATCAAGAGTCTTGTCAAGTATCAACATTTTGTAAATTGAATAGTCGAAACAACGACCTTGTCAACCAAATGAATTTATAATTAAGTCATATGCTGTCAGACGTTCTTCATACTACTGTTAGACTACTCGAAGTTTTCGAAGAATTTTCCCTTACAAGGAGCACACGGTGGATTTCAAGGGGTGAAAAGGGATGATCACTCCTCTATGACACATGATCCCTTATCTGATGTTATGGGGGTCATTGTGTATTATAGTTTTGTGTACTACTGATCTTGAGAATGGTCATTTTCTTGTATTTCATTGTAAACTTTCATTTTAATTTAGGTATATACTTCCCTTAATTTATATCATTCATCATATATAAATTTGTATTATTTATTGATTTGTCATTCATTTTAAAGGAATCATAAGTTTTTCTGGATGCATGTTTGTTGTTGCAAACTATAAAAACCAAGAGAAGGGCTGGGGCTTTTATCTCTCTCTGGCAGCATCATGCTATATAGTGCTTGAGGTATACTAGAATATAGAACTTTCTATCAAAATTTTATCATATTCTTATTGATACACATGCGAAATTGGAAGAGCAAATATGTTGTAAAATATACTGAATGTCTTTTAAGTTGTTATGGATTATCAATTTAGATAGAAATTTCGATTATGTGAAGATCTTTTTTTTATTATTTTTTCATTTAATTAAATTTTCATTTACTTTGATTAAAAACTTTTTTTACTGTCAAGTTAAAACATGAATTCTAACTACAAAAATCATCATGACATTAGATTTCCTAAAAATATATGATTTATATATCAATAAAACATTATCCTCAGATGCCTACATATATGCAACCTCTTGTCTTAGAAGTTAAAATTTTGAAATCAAAAATTGATATATTTAAATTTTTTAAGATCTTCGTATGCTGCTATACCTTGTACAAGCTAGGAAGTTCAGAAAAGGACACAGATCCCGAGGATGGACGAAGGAATTCAAGTAATATTGGTGAGGAAAACAATCAATTTGGAGCATCAGGTCAAAACAATGAAACAACGACCCGTTCCGGTGGGGGTGGTGTAATTTTGGGTCAAGTTCAATGTCATCACCAGTTAGAAGTTACGAGCACCAGAACGTTTTTGATCAGGAAGCTGCAGGTCGCCAGAGTTTTCCATATCAGCTGAATGTCATCTACATTGAATGTCTAGAAATTTTATCAAAACTCTAAAAAAATTAATTATTTTAAAATGGATTTTAGGAGTTTTTATTTTGTGATAAAATTCATATAAAATATCAGCATATTGACGATGTTCTGTTATAACGCATTGTTAAAACATTTACCACAAAACTTTGAATTTGATTAAAATTAACAAGTACGGTAGTTTTAATGTAAGCCTAGTCAGTTATCAGAAACGATTACAGTAGCCTTGTGATAGAGCGTCCACTTTGTGATCGGCAGACCCGGGCTCGATTTCCTTTCGCAGCTAACCTAGGTAGTGAATGTTCCTTCGCCAAGCGCTCTACAATACTAGTGAAAGTCCCGGGACTTAAGGACGACAGACCTCATTCGAAATTTCGCGCTACTGCACAGGAAGTCGCGCATCTGCCTTGAATCAGATCGACGTTATTATGTATTGCTAAAGATTATTGATATATACATTTTTTGATGTTTACAAATACGAGGGCCGTTCAAAAATTACGCGGACTTGTTGCACAGAAAAAATATTTGACGAAATAATCGGACAAAATGTCACACATACTTTAAAAGAATCTTTACGTATATGGTCTACAAAATTTCATATAAAAATGTTGTAAATTGGTATCAATTTTGAGTGATTTTTCAGGCCATATCAATAAGTCACGGAGCAGCAAAATCTTTGACGTCACAGGCATTATTAAAAATATGTGGTTGAGCTTTCATTTTCTCAACATTTTCCCAAGAGTACCTGTACAGTTTGAGTTACCTTATCTACTCAACATCCAAACACCATTTCTTGTCAAGCTTAAAATCTGTTAAACTAGTAAAGAATATAGAATATTCTTTTTTGTTTTAAATAAAAAACACAGCAGGTATTTATGAGATATAGTGTGATATTGGCGACTCTCAATCACGTTCTTAACAGTCCGGATAAAGTTTTCGACGATAATTTTCTTTCCTTCCTCCCATGTAGCCATTTTACAGATGTCTAACGGTCTAAAATTCAAATTTGCTATTTGTGGACGAATGTCACGAATACACTAGTTTACTACATATTTTATTATGCATATTTTGGATCTATGTGGGCGATATCTCAAGCATTACACATAATTTAACTAACGTGTGGTGCGCCGTCAATTCACGAGACGTCATTTTCACAGTCGTTTTCACGGGAATCGCATCAGAGAAAAATCTCTTTATTTCTGTTAGTATTTCAAATATCACGTCAGAAATCTAAATACATAATAATAGAACTATTTAAAGATGTATTTGAAAAAATTGTCGAAAAATATCGCGAATTATAGAAAATAATTGAGTTAAATTTTGGATTCCGCATGCTTTTGCTTCAACATTTTTGTCATGCTCCGTACCTCTCCATCAGCGATATCAACATACCGATAATTTTAGTAGAATTTTTTTTTTAATTCAGAAATTTTGCCCAAAATTTATTGGAATCTTTGAAATACATATTTCTGTGAAATTTCATAACTATATGACGTCTGTAAGAGTAAATAATAGCACAGTCCGCGTAATTTTTGAACGGCCCTCGTAGTTTCATACCTTTATTCCCAATTCAAATTTATTTTACACAATTCGATTTACATTCATTTGTTGATTATATAAGTAAATTATTATTTTACGACATTTGCCGTAAGCGCATGGAGAGTAAACAAAACGTGTTGGATGTTGATGACTTTCCTGACTCGCCGGTTAGGCTGGCTTTGTTCATTTGAAGCTTCGTTCTTCATTAAGAAATGAAGTGCAGCAAGTACAAACATCGTCATAAACTACGGCCAAATGTACGACCCTCTGTCTCCCATTATCGATACGACTCTAGAGCGAATTCTGGACAGTGGCCGGAGACAATAACTTGAATAAGCTCAAGTTGATGTTTCTAATGGAGGTGATTTGTAAGGAAAGATCTTTTCTGAATAATGTCTGTTACGTTGCCTTTTCGTCCTAAAGATGAACTAAGCATGCATGATGCTAAATGAACATAAAAGTGTTTGCACATGAAGGAGAAAACAAGAGCCCGGAACGCCAGGATCTTACAGCTGCTAAAGTTAGACATTTCTGATGTGATATCAACACTATTCAGTATTTCATTTGGAACAGGTAACCATATTTGGATTTTTTGTTTTAGGCTAAATGTTGCATTTATTCATTATGTTTTATTATTATTGTTGAATATATTTCTTTTAATGCATCTTTAGCAGGTCCAGTCCAAAGACTATTTCTACCTACGTAGCTATTAATAGCTACCTAAGTATTTAAAGCTACCCTAAGTAGCTATTTTTACCTACTTTCTGCTTAACTTGTATTTTGTGGCCAAATACAGGAACGGCGTAACACGATAAACACAAAATTTCTTAATACAGTAACACTGATGATGGATATGACAAAAATTTGGCCAAAAAATGATTACTTCTTATATAATCAATTTTGTATAGAAACTAATGTAAAATTGACGATTCAGGAAGTAATCATTTTTATACCAAAAATTTATTGTATTCATCATTAGTGTGACTGTATCAAAAGATATGGTATTCACCATGTTGCGCCGTTTGGTCTTTGGGCCGCAAAATGCAGAAATTATAAAAAGTAGGTAAAATAGCTACTTCGGGTAGCTTTAAATACCTAAGTAGTTATTAATAGCTATGTAGGTAGAAATAGTCTTTGGACTGGACCTGTTTAGGACTATGTAAAAATGTTAAAGATTTTGGATGTAATTGCAATAGGTTGTTAATGTTAAGCAAAATACCTTATTAGAGTAGCCAAGTTAATTTATAAGCATACTTAATTCTCAAAGAATATTCAACCAAGCTTAAATATAAAGCCATACAGATAAACCTGGCTATTTACCTGCTTAGAGATGAATCAAGTAAAGTACCGGCAAGGTTGAGACAGGCTTATCACTTTATTTTTAAATATATTTATTTTGTGCTAGCTTCATTCAATCATTGATAAAATTTTCCTATATGGCAATGAAATTGAAATAGCAATCTTCTTTAATAAATAAAGGTTCTACATGTGTGTTGTTGGCAATTCCCCTGTGTTAGCAACATGTAATCATTAGAATAAAGTATGGCAGTATGCTATCTTATACGTCATATATCGTATAATCCATATTAACCGCCCCTGCTGCTATAAGCGCCCCCTTAGGTCTTTTTCAATTGTCAGGAAATAAGGGCCCCCTGTAAAGTGATTAAAATCATGGAGAATCGTATCAAAATATTTGAAGAAAGTGAAAATTAAACTTATCTATTAATATCCAATATTTCAATGGAAAATGAATAATTTATCATAATTTGGGTTGATTATCTTCACTTTAAGTAAAGTTAGACATTATTTATTGGTTCCTTGTATTTATTTTTTTTTCAAAAGATTTTTTAAAATATGATATTGAATATCATAAATAGAGTACCAAAAAAAAAAACGCCCCCTTTTTACAATTTTATAAGCGCCTAGGGCGGTTAATAGGGATTATACGCTATTTGAACCCTTGAATCATTTGTTTTAATGCAAAAAGTTGTTGAATCATTTCAATAAAGTTGTGTATCATTCATAATTGTTTCCTCCAAAAAAGATAATAATAAGTTGCCTTCATCTTTTACAGTACATGCACTCGCAGCTTTAAAAAATTAACAACTCAAAACTGAATCACACTGATAATACTATTTTATACAAATTTAAGATGCATGTACATGTATGTAGATCACAATACTCAAATGTATTTTGCATTTCAAATTTAATGATTTTTTTTTACCACAGAAAAAATCTACAGACTGAGATACTTGTACTGAGGAAATACCTGCTGCTGAATAAATAAAACCCAAGACTTGTTTAGGTATGTTTTTGAAGTCTTTTAAAATGAAAACTTCACGCATGACTTTTTCAAAAGGGAGATAAATGTTTAAAAATCATTTTCCTATTCTTTGTAAACTGACAATGCTGATTAATCATATGCTTTATTAGGGTGTGAATATTAATTTTCATTTTGAATTTTTCAGTTTATTCATATATTTTTTAAGCGCCCCAATCGATAGATCAGAGGCGAATATATTTTTTGTCCTGTCTGTTTGTCTGTCTGCTGTCAACTTTAACATTAGGCTAGCCATAACAGATAGAGACTTCATATTTGGTATGCATACTCCACTAATTAAGTTTTCAAATGAGACCAAGGTAAATGACCCTGAATTTGACCTTGACTGTGACCCTTAAGCTAAAAATAGCTTTTCCAATCTTTGTTGCCTCTGGGCGCATAGTGTTTTTTAAAATTATTTTACCTTTGTTAAAAAAATGCAAAAAAATGTGTACACTTGATATTGATTGATTGAATGTTTATTTATTTATCTGAATATCACACAGTTTTTTGTGTATTTCAGGTAGAAACAACAATATGCCTATAGTTCAAATTTCTACATCTATTGGAGCACCCATCGTCGTCAGGAATTTTTCTTGAATTTCCATCGTTTCCAAAAATGCACCTTGCAGGCATGGATTGATTGTTGTAGCTTAACACATGTTACAAGATTATTTAACCCTGATGGGAAGTCACAAGATGCAGTGAATGACACTAGGAAGCAATGAGGAGTGAGGTTTCTTTAGTGTGCCAATGTCTGCTGCTCCAACCTTTACTCTCTCAACCAAAAGACCTCCAACTTTACAGCACCAGAATATATGAATAGCCACTGGGAAATTTTTTACAAACTTTTCATATGTAACAATATTGCAAGTTCATAGTGTTGTTCGGCATGTAAACAGCATGTATATCATTTTTAGATATACAGAAGTGATGAAATAATTAGGAACTCTAGCTAGTTAGTGTATGGTTAGTTTAACCCCACATGTATATATGTTATATCTCATAAAAAAAAACTAGTTAAAAAAATCAAAATTTGTATATATGGTAAAAGCTAATACATGTAGCTATTTAAAATGACTGAGTGAAATCATTATAAACAAACATATACAAGTAAAATATTTTTTGTATATTAAATTTCAT